TCTCAGAACTAGTAGTGTGATTACAGTCAGCATCTATGCATCAGTACTGAACTTCTCTTTATTGTGGATAGGTAAACTATAGCTACCCAAATTTTGGCTGTCCAATATTTTGAGGGCAGGTGTCATGCCCCATATTTCTTTAATCTCTAAAGCATTTAAACTATGTTACARCCAGACATGGTGGTGCACACCTGTAATCCCAGCAGCTCGGGAGGCTGAGGCAGGAGGATCACGAGTTCAAAGCTAGCCTCAGCAATTTAGTGAGGCTTAAGCAATTCAGTGAGACCCCATCTCTAAATAAAATACAAATAGGGCTGGGGATGTGGCTCAGTGGTTAAGCACCCTGTATTCAATCCCTGGTATTAAAAAAAAAAAAAAGAGAGAGAGAGAGAGAGAGAGAGAGAGAGAGAGAGAGAGAGAGACTACCTTAGGCACTTGGGCACAAAGTAGACACTAAAAGCATACTGTCCTCCAGGAAAGGGAAAAGCAGTTGAGAAGCATTCTGTAAAACACAGTACTGCCCTACGTGATCACATTACTGATCCACTGTACGAGCCACCTGACACTAAGGGTTAGGGGTGGGGGCTATTCACTGGAGGGCCACAGAAGATAGCATAAGGTGGGTAAATAGTTTGGTAGGAAGCTGCAGTAAACAAGATTATTGGCTGATGCTTAGAATAGAAATAGACTTCTGACTGCTAACATTACCATGATATAAATCAAACATCATCCTTACTTGCCTTAAAAGCCTTCAATGACTTCTCATTGTACTTAAAATTGAGTGTGCCTCCTCCATGCACTGACAGACCATGGTGAATGGACCTGCACCTTGCCCATCTGCACTAGCTCCCCTTCCCTTACACACCTTGATGCCCTAGCCCCACTGGTTTCCTTGTTCTTCCTTCAAACACACCAAGCTCTTCCTGTACCAGGCCCTTACATTTACTTTTCCTTCTATCTGAACCCTGCTTTCTGAATGGTTGACTCCAACTCATTCTACAGATCTCAACTCTAATATTTCCTCTTTGGGGAAGCCTTTCTTGGCCATCTTATCTATAAAGTCACCACTGTTTTATTCCTATTACCTGCTAATACATCCACACTAGTTAGTTTATGTCATAGTACTTAGTAGTTTCTAAAATTATCTTATTTACTTGTTTCCTTTTATTTATTTATTTTTGGTACTGCGGATTCAATCTAGGGGCACTTCACCACTGCTCTATATTCCCAGATCTTTTTTATTTTATTATTTTGAGACAGAGTCTACATTGCTTACAGTCTCACAAAGTTGCCCAGGCTGTCCTCCTGCTTCAGCCTCCCAAGTCATTAGGATTATAGGTGTACATCATCACACTTGGCTACTTGTCTCCTTTTTAATTATCAGTCTTGCCCTTCTAAATATAAATCTCCTGAGAGCAGGAGTAGATTTATCTTGCTCTATCAATTGGCACGTATTAATACTATGAGTGAATGAGCAAATGAGAGATAGGAACACACAGTGGCAATAGGTCAGTAGGCACTGAGTTAAGGTGGAAAATACCAGTTGTCCCATGATGAAGCCAGAAGTTGCTGCATGACTTCTTGTTTTAGTACTAGAGATTATACCCAGGGGTGCTGTCACTAAACCACATCCACAGCTCTTTTTTACTCTGAGGCAGGGTCCCCCTAAATTGCTGAGGCTAGCCTCAAACTTGTGATCCTCCTGCCTCAGTCTCCGAGCTGCCACAATTACAAGCACATTTCCAGGAGTATAGGCATATGATACTATGCCTGGTGACTTTTATTTTATTTATTTATTTACTTCATTAGTATGAATACAAGTGATGATGGCACACACAGAGAAAAAGAGAGAGCCTACGCTCTGCGACAAGTTAGAAAGAAATATCAAAAGAGCAAAATTCTAGCTGGACCCAGTGGTTCATGCCTATAATCCCAGCAGCTCCAGGAGGCTGAGGCAGGAGGATCTCAAGTTCAAAACCAGCTTCAGCAATGGCAAGGCACTAAGCAACTCAGCGCAATCCTGTCTCTAAATAATACACAAAATAGGGCTGGGGATGTGGCTCCATGGGCAAGTGCCCCTGAGTTAATCCCCAGTACAAAAAAAAAAAAAAAAAAGAGCAAAATCCTGCTGGCTTCAGCTTTTACAGTTTATGATGCTATTGTTATTCAAAGTGGATTTTCTCACTTTTGTTAGATTCCAAGGTTTCCTTTCTCTCCCATGGTGGAATTTGCACTGGGCCATCACCATGACAGTCCACCCATGACTTCTCTTAGGCATGCTCAACACCCATCTCAGCCACAGGGTACTTGAGGACCTTGTTCTAAATATCTATTGAGAACAATGGGACAGAAGTTTCTTATCCTAACAACCTGAACACAAAGACAAAGCATATGCAAGAGTGGGTTCTTCCTCACACTACCTCAGTGCAAAGTCTCCTCCTTTGGTAATGGTAAATGTAAGAGCATAGAAACCTTCCAAAAGGTGTGATTCAAAAGCAAAGAAAGATTCACTGGCACCCTTTATGCATAAAGCAGTTTGCTTCACAGAACTTCATCAATTAGGACAGTTATCTTAACTTTTTAGTGACTGAGAATCCTTGGACTTGGAAAAGCATGAGGAAGAAAAAGAGTGGGAAAAAACCCTACCATCCTTGTTTTATGTTAGACGCTTTCAGAGGCATATTGGGTTCACACAATCACGTTAAAGCAACAATCATAGCTGAGAGAGGGGCACTTACGTGGCATGATCCCTTGGCTCACGAGTTCTTCCCGGGTCCGGCGCTGCTGGAGCTTCAACTGCAGCACTGCAGGGCAGCAAAGAGAGAGGACAGATGAAGGGTCAGTCGAGTACTCCACCTCAAAAGACACATTTTCAAATGCAAAAAAGTCTAAAAACAAAAGGTTGTAGCGTGAAAGATTCCCTTGAATTGTAACTGTGTAATTGCAGAAGTGGCCTGATACAGCAGGGTTTCCGTATTCTGCTGTGGGTGGCAAGAGGAAGTTGCGAAGTGTCTTGCAGGGCGATAACAATCCACAAAGTACCAGAGACTTGCCTCTTGTTAAAACCTTCTACAATACTGGGTCCTCCTTCTAAGACTGAAAAACACCAATTCTAAATTCACAGAAAATATCATCCAGCACCCAGCAAACAGAAAGATTTCCAGGTGTATGTACTTCCTTATTGAATATTTTTTTAAATACTTTTTTTAGTCACAGTTGGACACAATACCTTTATTTATTTGTTTGTTTTTTTGTTTGTTTTTATGTGATGCTGAGGATCAAATCTAGCGCCTAGCATGTGCTAGGTGAGCATTCTACCACTGATCCCAACCCCAGCCCCTCCTTATTGAATGTTTACAACGTGTGTATGGTGAGTGATGCAGCTGCTCGGAGAGCAGAAGATACTGGTTATTAAATTCTTCTCTTTTGTATCAAAAAATTGGAGCTATTTTTACCAAGCCTTGCATTCCTCTAGAACAGAAGATAGTGTGCCATTAATATACCTCTTTTCTTTCTCTTCCTCTTGACTCAGGGCCTTTTTCTGTTGGGGTGAAACAACCAAGCTAAATGACTCAAAGCACATCCGGCTAGCAGACTGAGAGGTGTTTCTCCTATTTCTACTTGGGCAACACCACCTAACGAAACAACTTAATAGGGATTTTTATTAAGTAAAAGAAGTCAATTATTTCTACTGCAAAAGTTAATGGAAACTAAAGAGAGGTTTAGGTTCCAGACATTTCACAAGACAAAGGCAAAGCTGTTGTTCCATGACTGAGAAAATGTGCAAAGAGGGGGTAAGAGGATCCCACAAGCCAAAGGAAGTCCCCTTACATGATAGGCCTTCAATTATAGGGGCCCTGCAAGCACAGCTGAAAGGAATCTGCATCTACTGGAAATCACAGGGTCCTAACATTGGCCTTTTCCACAGAGCACTTTTAGGGAGGCCTCCAAGAATGAGAGAACCATAACTAGGCTCCTGCCTACATCCCAAATGCAGTACATTCAAAGTAGAACTTCTTTCTCCCAAAAACCTAACCCACGGCCCATCCTTCTCACCTCTTTAGGAATCATTACCCTTCCCAGTACTGATTTCAATGTCTGAGCAACTCTGACCTCCACCACCTCGCACTCCTCACCAAATTTATCCCAACACTCTTTCCCTTGCTGCAGTAGCTTAAGGGCTCTGTCCTTACTTGAGCCACATCTCCCATTCTACAGCATCCCAACCAGGACTATCCAGCTCCTCTTCCTCAAGCACCATGAACCTTCTGCTGCTTCTTTTATTCACTTCACGAGGGAATGCCCACTGCCTTCACCTAGCCTTCCCAGTTCACTCCGCACATGCAGAATTACTCTGGGCCTTCTGTGATTACTTTTAACTGTTATGAAAACTACAAAGTTCTGATTTTTAGTTTTCTTGTCCTTAAAATGGGGATAGTAATGGTACCATCCTCACAGGACTCCTCCCCTGCTCCCTACACCCCTTCCCCCCAGGACACTGCACAAGCCAGGCCAGTGTTCTACCACTGAGAGCAAAATATGAAAAAGTATTTTGCCTTATGTAATAGTTACCCCTAATCATCTCTCCTAATAGTTTATAAATTCCTAGAGGGCAAGAAATGTATCCTATTAATAGATGTCCCCCAGCACCTCAAATAAGGTTGCATTTAATAATTGCTTCTTAAATTAAACTGGATCTCAAAATGATGATATGTACAAATAAATCTTACCAAGAGGTTATTATTATTTTATAAATTAATACAGCCCCAGCCTAACCCATGTGTTTTAAACCACTTTTCTTATAACATCCCTATGGAGATGGGCAGTTTTGTTTATTTATTTATTTATTTATTTATTTATTTATTTATTTGCAGTATTTTATTTATTCTATTAACAGTAAATATTTAAAACATTTACAACATTAATTATGTTGTTCTTAAGAATAACTTCAACCTTTTTTTACATCTCTATAATGAGAAAATAAATAATTATGGTCAAAATTATTCTGTCAAAAACTTATCATGCTTAATGTTAGTATCTTTACATGCAACTCCGTTTTTGGTGTAAAGTTCTTTGGCTGCAAGAAAGAACATTTGATTTACTTCACTAATAGGAATATTTCTTAATGCTGTGATGGCCTCTTCTTGGTAATTCTTCTGCTGTTGATTTTTAGCATAGTTATCTGTGATTGTATTAATGGAGTTGAGTGGAGAAGTACTCATCTTGTTAAGGAGGTGGACAGGAATGCGACTGCCCAATATTTTTGAGGCTAGTAGGTTAAGCCTGAGGAGTTTAGCCAAGATTCAGGAATAAAAGCCCACATAAGATAAAGGACAGGGCTGGGGATGTGGCTCAAGTGGTAGCGCGCTTGTCTGGCATGCGTGCCGCCTGGGTTCGGTCCTCAGCACCACATACAAAGATGTTGTGTCCGCCAAAAACTAAAAAACAGAGATTAAAATTTCTCTTTCTCTCTCCTCTCTCTCTCTCTTAAAAAAAAAAATAAATAAATAAAGGACAAAGCCAAAATGGGGAGGCTGGGATTGTACAGGCTCAGCAGTAGAGCCCGCCTAGCACRTGAAAGGCACTGGGTTCAATCCTCAGCACCACATAAAAAAATAAATAGGGGCTGGGATTGTGGCTCGGGGGTAGAGTGCTTGCCTGGCATGTCTGAGGCCCTGGGTTCGATCCTCAGCACCACATAAAAATAAATAAAGGTACTGTGTCCATCTACAACCAAAAAACAAATATTAAAAAAAAAAAAGACAAGGCCATCTGACTTTTAAAAATAAATAAATAAAGAGATAGATAGATGAAATAAAGGTATTGTGTCCGACTACAACTAAAAAAATATTTTTAAAAAAGCCAAAATGGGAGCTTAAAAACAAAATCTCTCTTTCTGGTAATGGTGACAGTGAATTTTCCACCATTTTCCCTGTGGCTTTGGACAATCTCAGCACCCACTTCTCTGCACAAACATGGACTAGGAAGCTATACTAGGAGGGGAAGAGCAGTCATTGTTATCCCATCCTACAGGAAAGGAAAATGAGGCCCAGAGTGATTAAGTAATTGACCTAAGCTTATTCACTATTAAGAGTAGAATAGGATTTGAGCCCAAACGTCCTGATTCCAGAACCAGAACTCCTCACTTTGCTTTACCAGGATCTTCTGAAAGCCCATTCTGCTAACATAACAGATCTGGAACAGGAGGACAAAGGGACTGACTGAGGAAAATGGGTGGTTCAAACCAGGATCATAAGAGTTCAGGTGATCAACTTCTGTCAAAAAAAAAATTTAAATTAATCTAGGAATTTTATTTCAAAATAAATTATAACTACAGATCAGCAACAATAATTCTAGTAATAAAATACAAACAATAGTAGGAGTAAATGAATGTGTTACTGTGTATGAGGCTTTGTGTTAAATGACTGACATGCTTTTAAGTTATTTAATTTTAAAGAGGAGGGGAAGACTGAAGGGAGAGCTCAGTGGTAGAGCTCTTGCCAGCATGTGTCCTCGGTTCCATCCTCAGCTCTGGAAGGAAGGTTTGTGGGGAGTGAGGAGAGAAGCCTGTGAGGATAATATGATTACCATCTCCCTTTCATGGATGAGCAAACTAAAAATCAGACCTTTAAAGTTTTGCCTCACCAGTAGCTCGGGAGGCCGAGGCAGGAGGACTGTGAGTTCAAAGCCTCAGCAATGGTGAAGCACTAAGCAACTCAGTGATGCCCTGTCTCAAGTGAAATACAACAAAGGGCTGGGGATGTGGCTCAATAGTTGAGTGCCCCTGAGTTCAATCCCTGGTTACACCCCCCCAATAAATAAATAAACTAATAAATTTTGTCTCATATCACAAAGGTCAAAAGTGCTGGAATGGGATTTATATCCAAGTATAGATGTCATTAAAGTTGAGACTTAATCATATGTAGTGTGCTTTGTAGGAAAGAAAAGGAGAAGCCAACCAGGATAAAGGGAGAGGGATAAGAAAACTACAATCTATCACCTTTTATAATGTTTGTAAGGCCTGGCTTAAGGTAAGCTATTAGAAAATGGTTAAAAATAATAAATTAGCCAGGCATATCATGCCTGTTATCCCAGTGTTTGGGAGGCTAAAGCAGGAGGATCTCAAGTTCAAGCCCAGCCTCAGCAACTTAGTGAGGCCCTAAGCAACTAGTGAGACCCTGTCTCAAAAAAAATAATAATAAAAATAAAAAGGGCTGGACATGTAGCTCAGTGGTTAAGCACTCCTGGGTTCAATTCCTGGTGCAAAAAAATAATAATTTGATTTTATGCAAATAATCCAATTCAATAAGCCTGAACAATAATTTATGAAAGCAATGGTTAGTACCTGAGAATAATTTTGAAAAATCAGTCAGTTGTCTTCCTAAGTAAATCATATATAGACAGGATCGTGAGGGCTACTGTGCAAACTTCTTGACTGAAAAACCTCTGACCTCATGAAAGTAATGAAGCCTATAAAAACTAACCTTTGTTTAATAAAATTTTCATCTCTAAAACTACAAAATTAAAGTCCATTTATCTGAAAATTCCATATGTCTCCCCTAAAAGTTAACTGCCAACTCTGCACTCATCTAAAATCTGACCAAGTTTCCCATTCAAAAAAGAGTGCTTACTCTGGGTCAGTATTATCTTGAGTACTACTATACTTGACTGTAGGTATATACCATCTTAAACATTGTACCACCACCCCCTGCTATCTCTAACAATGTACTTAAGGATATGAAAAAGGCAAAAGCAGTGAACTCTGGATTATGGAAGTCAACCTACACTTCATTGATTTATCTTTCAGGCTGTGTAGATTTCCAATGATCCTTCTAAGACTTTCATCTACAAAGAAATAGCATTTATGCAAATATTCCTTTTCCTTAATTATCTTACTTCCTCTTAATTCTAAACACTCTTGATAAAATGCCTTTACACGTTCAGGTCTTACGAATTTTGGAAGAAATAATAACTTCTTTTCAATAAATTGTGAAAGTGACATGAGCCATGTGTACTGTGCTCACTGCAGAAGTCAACCCCAATCAGGAGTATATTTCAGTGACCATGAACTTAATGCCCATCCATCCTCACCAAGAAATACCTGAAACCACTTAAGATTTTTTCACAGACAATGCTAGTCCCAGGAGATTGAAGGCAGTAAGGATTTGACATAATCTATTTCACTGTACATCACTCTTTATAGAGTCTTCACCACTCCCCAAGTCAATAAAAACTAAACAAAAACAACTACTTGTGCACAAGCCTGAGTCTTTATACCATCACTGTTATTGAATTCCACAAATTTAATATTATCATCTGTTTCTAAATGAGTCTCTGTGAACAGCCTATATATAGATGAACAGATGCCTTTAGAGTTGAYGGATGGTGAAGTCCACTAAGCTGCCGCCAGAAAAGACTTGGAGGAACAAGAAGCCATAAAGTGGGACACTTCAGGTTTTCCATGCCCCATGGAGATAATCAATTTTTTCACCGGCCTACAATAATGGCAGCAATTGCTATTTGAATAATTGACTACTTGGAAAATCAAAGTATAATACATTTATCTAAAGTAGTAATTGTTAAAAATAACTTCATATAGTACTTTCTTATTCTAAATTCTGGCCCTATAAATTCCCAAAGTTGGTTCTACTAATAATTGATATATTTTTCTCCTAACTTTCAGACACCAGTCCCCCCCACAAAAAAAGAAAATCCAAGTCAGCAATAGACACAACTACTTCCAGCTTCAAAATAAAAATTGTGTTTTACTGGGAAGATCAGAGAAGGAACAGGCTCAGTTTTAGCCTTAATTGGAGCTAAACATGCTGACAGAATGTTCATCTCTGTAGCAGTGAATCACACCTATTCTACTGGTGTATTTTACACTTTGGTTGATTCTATATGCCTGAAAAATCACTTAGTGGCATTCAAATTGTAAAAACATATCTATCACCTGTCACTCAGAACCCCAAGGTTATTCAGACTAGTTTCATTGTTAGGTTATTCTGCTGGGTTGCTTTCCAGCATGGCTACAGACATAGAGATTTAAAGTTGGGAGGGGTAGAGTGTTCCCCGTTCATTGTGTCAGACTGTGCCAGGTTCTAGATACACCTGTTGCCTCTATTCACATAAAGCTTTCAGTTCAGTGGGAAAACAGACATTGAAGGGTGACAACAATTACAAGTTGTGGTAAATATTTTACAGGAACAAAATAAAGTATATGATTGGGCTGGGATCATGGCTCAGTGGCAGAATGCTTGCCTAGCATGTGTGAGGCACTGGGTTCAATTCTCAGCACTACATATAAATAAATAAAATAAAGGTCGTTCAACAACTAAAATAAAATTTAAAAAAAAAAAGAATAAAGTATATGAGACAGGTCAAATCCTAGAATCCAGTTTTTCTCCTTTCATGTTTTGTGATGACTAAGTCTTCACAGTTCCTTTTTGCTGTTAAACAGTCAACTATTTAAGATACTAAAACTCTTTGGAGAATATAGACTGTGGGAGAAACCACAGTGAGGAATTACAGCTCACAGTGCCACTTACTCCCTGTACTCTCAGATGCTTGACTGCTCTGGGCTCCTGTACCAGAGGATCCACAGGTCTACTTGCCTTGTATGCAGGCCGTATTCAATTTTTCCATAGTTCTTTATTCGAAGTTTCTCTTTTCTTCAGTATTTATTCAAGGAATAAGAGGGTCTGCTACATGCCAGACAGACATAGTTCTTGTCTTTAGTGAATTTAATTTCAGGAGGAAACAAACATCAAATAAGTACACATACTAAGTAGTTAGAATATTCTCATGGTTTAATTCATGCACTCAAACATCTTTTTGTTGTTGTTTGTTTGTTTGTTTTCAGGGCTAGGGACCAAACTCAGGGTCCTGCATGTGTTAGGCAAGCATTTTGCCACTGAGCTAAATCCCCAACCCCTCAAATATTTTTCATATTGTGAAAAGGGCTGAGTGTGTTAGGGATGCATATTTGAAGAAAACATAGTTTTCATTCTCACAGAACTCAGGTAAGGGGAAAAAAGGGGTTCAAAATGAATTGCAATGTTATAAAGAAGATGTCTATAATAAACACTTTCACTCAAAAAGACAAAGAAAAACACAACTTTGACTAGCACACACATCAAAAAATGGATTTGCTTTGCGACTAAGGGTTACTGGCAAATTTAAGTCTTATCTGGTATGTGTGCATATATACTAAAAAGAAATAGTTTCTTGAGGAAAAAAAAAAACATTTATATATCTTTTAGTTATTTTGAGAGCACAAAGGTGATACTACCCAATGGTGAATATCAGAAAGAAAAATAGGATCCTTCCTTTATGGAGTAGGATGAGTGAACACACAAGCTGGGATTTAAAAATATTTTATACTCATGCTCAGTTTGTGCTGAAGTTTTAAGTAGTTTTGTGATATCCCCCAAAARCAATTCTCCTCTAGGCCCCTACTTATTGTACATGCCCTTCTATGTTTGAATATGTCCTCCCCAAAGCTCATGTGTTGGAAATTTAAGCCCCAAATTCATACCTTAGTGGTGACTGATGGTGGGGCTATTTGGGAAGTCATTAGGATTAGACAAGGTCATGAGGTTGGGCCCCCATGATGGAATTAGTGGCTTTATAAGAGGAAGAAAAAAATCCATGCTAGCACACTTGCTCTTTCTCGCTATGTTAAGACATGGCAAGAAGGCCCTCACCAAATACTGGCACCATGCTGTTGTGCTTCCCAGCTTCCAGAATCATGAGCCAAATTAACTTTGATTCTCTATAAATTACCTAGTTTATGGTATTTTGTTACAGCACCAGATAATGTGCTAAGACACTCTTAAAAAATCTTTTCTTGGGCTGGGATTGTGGCTCAATGGTAAAGCGCTCACCTAGCATGTGCAAAGCTCTGGGTTGATCCTCAGCACCACAT